GCTGAACCAGCAAATCTCTGGATACACAATATGTGGTAAAACTCACTAGGGGCCCCAAACGAAAAATTAAGGGTCCGTACTCCACTTCTTGCACCTGCTCGCACATTGGATTTCTGAAGGTGAAGCCTGAGCCCCACTGAGCTGGAACCAAAGTCCTGCTGCACCAAGCTATCTCTGGAGGGCACCTTGGCCAATTGCCCTGCCTGCTAGCCCCTATTGCAGGCTTTGCAAATAATACAAGTTCCTATTAACTAACAAACGAAAAATTAAGGGTCCGTACTCCACTTCTTGCACCTGCTCGCACATTGGATTTCTGAAGGTGAAGCCTGAGCCCCACTGAGCTGGAACCAAAGTCCTGCTGCACCAAGCTATCTCTGGAGGGCACCTTGGCCAATTGCCCTGCCTGCTAGCCCCTATTGCAGGCTTTGCAAATAATACAAGTTCCTATTAACTAAAACACCAGTGGAAATAAGAATTAGATCTTTGTATGCTCCAGCTTTGCAAAAAAAAAAAAAAAAAAAAAAAAAAAAGAGATGTAAAAATCAGTCACATACAGGCAGGACTATCATGGTATGAAATAAAATTAAGAGAAGTCTTCCTAATTTCCAAGAATATCAAAATTGGAAGGTCATGGGCATGATGTCAGGACATGGATGAAAAAAGATATATGTTGTACATCTATCCTTGACATTTCTGTTACTCTGGTATTTGGGAAGTGCCCTGAAGTGTTTCTCTGTTTGTGGTCCACCCACACTAGATCCTGACCACTACACTAACCATTTCATGGTTACACTGCGGATAAAATTCGTTCCGATTCTAGCTGAGATTAATTCTTTTTACTCTAACATGTGAGGTGAAAGATGAGCACATTTTAATTAAAAGATGTCCCTTTTAAGTGAAAGAACCACTCACACTAATAGCTCCTTGAGAGCTAAGTTGTAATATAGGCTTTCAAAACCTTAATTGCTCATCCATTCTTGTTGTAGATTGCACCATGGGAGCTTTTTATGCCAGTGATTTACCTCTATATCCATCTCATTATTAGAAGAGGTCCAGCCGAGATAAGTGGTAGGCATGTGCAGCCCTTCCTAACTGACACTGAATAAAAGATCTCTTGTTCAGGGCAAAAAAGCTTACTCTGTGGCTACACCACAAACACCTGCAGAAAAATCCTACCTGAATCTCCTACATCAAAGTGGACATTCTGCTTAGGTGGACCAATAAAGTGGTAGATTCCCCATTGAGACAGCATTCACAACAGACAAAGATGGACAACTATATTGCAACATGCTTTTTTGAAAATTAGCAAATGTGTATTCAGCTCTAACAAATAGCCACTCTTGAGTTTTCCTTGAAACAAAATGAGATGGGAACTTGTAACTAAATATTTTCATGTGAAAAGACCACTCAGTCATATCACTGGGGAAGAGGGGGAATACAAGGGGGGAAATACAACCAAAAAAAGGGGAGGGGGGTCACATTTCCATTTTATAGGAAAAACAATCAAGTCAAAACAATGAGTAGAAATCAATTAGTCCACAAATAGCAATTGAAAAGCTTTTCCCGACTAGATACCGTTAAGCAAACAGATCTTAGTTTTCAAGGACTATATACACACCAGATGCTCCTCTGGTTTCAGCAGTAATTTACTGTATATAACAAAATATATTTAACAGCAACCACTCACTTCAGAATGATATTCCCAGCCATAATGGCAGTTAGAACTAATTCTGCACCAGACATTGAATGAACATGACTGAGAAATCAGAAAGGAAGAAAGTTTGAAGTAGAGTGACATTCACTTTAGTGCAGAGAGCAATTCATCATTTAAAACACATTAAGAATTTACGTGGTGTGTAGAGGCATGTGTGAGCCTTCTGCTCTGTAAGTTTTCTTTATCGCTTACACAGCAGTGTAAAATTCCAGCAGCAGTGGTAACCAGTGACTATAAAATATCATTAAGTTGTTAATATAATAAGCAGATCCTGACAAACATCAGTTCAAATTCATATGACTTGGTGGAGATTGAAGCCACAACTATAAAACAAAGTCAAACACGCTCTAAAAAGATATTGTTCAACTCTCACATCAGGATGCAAGTCCAGCCTCTCTCAAATTCACTATTGGTGTGGTCTACCATTGAATATTTGGCTCCCAGATCAATGTCACCTCACCTCACATCTGTAGTTGCTATGTAGCCACACAAATTGCCTTGAAATTAGGCTAAATGGTTCAAGATTCATTAGGACAATCTGGGTGTTATTTTCAAAAACAGCTACAGTAAAACCTGTGTTATCTGGCATGTTCAGGGATTAGGGCATTCCGGTTATCTGAAAATGCCACTTGAGGGTCCCATCAACCTACCCCCCCCCCAAAAAAAAAGAAAAACAACCAATGGACGATAATAGTAAAACTCAAGTTTTTAATATTGGTAGTTTTGTAGCATGAGGCAGTTGGTCTCACATTTCTTTCTTAAATAAAAAAATTGTTAAGCCAATCATGGTAAACCAAGCCAGGCCTGTGCGCCTGAAGATGTAACAGTATTGTGGCTGGGGGCAATGCCGGTTAACAAAGTTTTCTGGTTAACAGAGTGCTGGATAACAAAGTTTCACTGTATTCAGCTATGTGTCTTATTTAAACACAAGAACATTTTTGAAAATCAGGTCATGCAGGTTTTAAAAAACCAAACAACTATTTTAAGTGGAGTTCAAATTTCTTCACTGTCCACTATTCTTCCCAGACCTCATCCTCCTTACAATCCAATGTTCCAAAAGGTTGGGGGAAAGCCTGAATAATTGGACCAAATGCTTACTAAACTCCAGCTGGAAAAGACAACTAAGATTTTTCTAAATATTAAAGATGAATTTCTGATTAAGTACATGCTATTGTGGCACAGATGTTCCTATTAATTTAGTTTCCTTGCCAAAAAATAGTGCATAACCACCAAAGGGTGCAAATTCACATCCTAGCTCCTTTTAGGTGCACTCCCTTATCTGGTCTTTCATGTCACAGTAATAAACATACTCTGCAAATATTTTTAGAATTACCTGTACTTATTTTCCCTTTAAATCAGTAATTTCCACCATAATCTAACTCACAAGCCTAGTAAAACACCATACTAACTGCACAAAATGTAGCTGCACAAAACAGGAGGTTTTTTTTTTTTTTTTTTAAGAGTGTTTCAATTTTAAAAATCTTCAAACTCCTTAGGTCACAATACTCCTCATAAAACTGAGAATTCCCTCAAACACCCAAGTCACTTCATGCAAAGCACTGAGTGTAAGAGAGGAGACAAGCTGGGTAAAAGTAAAAGTTGAGGAAGTTAGATACAGGACAGTGAAAGCAGTTTTACAGTGTGGTTTAAAAAATAAGCTTCAAAAGTTCTTACACTCCTTTAAATTCTGTTTCACTAATTAATTTATGCAGGATTTTACACACACACACCTTCCTTTTCTTTCCCCTAGTAGAATTCGGTCTGCCTTCTCCTTACTAAGGAGCCACATATCATGCAATTAATTTTTCTTTTTTTTTTTCTTTTTTTTTTTTTAAAAAAAAAGCAGAGTTCCAAAATGTTATTAGGTAGTTCTACAATTTATATCGGTAACACAATATGACCCAAAATGTTTGAAGTCTGCATCAAGTGTTGTATAATACTATTTTCTCCCTTTTGGTATTATCAGACGTGAAGTTTCAAGTTGAAATGCAAGAGTTATCAAATTAGAAAAATATCAATTTTCTATCATTTGCAATATATTTTTATTAACAATGTGATTAGATTTAACTTTAAAGGCCCAAATCTGCAAAGCAGCACTCACGCAAGTATAGTTAATACAGCACAGTCCTATGGACAGTAACACTACACACAGTTGTATTTGTTTCTGGAAATAGGCCCTTAGTTAGCAATAAACTAACAGCAGTTTTATTTACTAGGTATCAGTTTATCGGTCTCAGATGCACCCAAACTGCATGCAATGAAGACAAGTATCATCTAATGTATTTAGTATCTTTGTGAAATGCAGTTTGGAGCACTAGTAAACAAATTCATCTAAATCACCAGAATGAGACAGAATAGTTGCTAGTTATGAAGGCTTATACTGTGTTTTTCCCCTCAACCATTCAGCTAATAAAAATACATAATTAGAACTTTACAATCTATTTTAGAGTTGTACTACTGCCTAAGCGGCTTTGTGCCGGAGCATCTTCCACATAAAGCAGGATACAAGAACAGTCCCCAGCAGACTTCTTGGAGTATCCTAGCCCAGTAAAGCCAGGATTTCCACCTTCAGCTTTTCCTGATTGTCAGTTTACGTATAACAGTAGATGTTGTGGCTATAATTTTGGTTCCAATGGAAAAAGCTTTCATAAAAACGGTTTTGCAGCATTTTTTAAAAAAGTTTAAATGTTAATATAATCTCCTGTAGAAGTTTAACATTTTCAATTCTAATATTTTGTACATTAATACAGAATACTATAGGCCTTTTTCCTTAATTCAGAGTTGTCAAGTGGAGATGTCAATTTCTGCTCTTCATGAGGCACTACGGGTTAACAATAAATGAGGCACGCATGAGTTAAAAATTAGTGGTGCTACAGTTGCATTTTTTCCCCTTAAAAATAAAGTCACCCCATTTTAAACTTCAATATCAAAGGAATATAATAAAGCATACCAGGGATCGCATTGTACACCACAAATGCAAACAGTGGCAGGTTGATATACTGCATTACAATAAAGGCTATTTTAAAAATGTATCCAATTTTCTTTTAATATGTTCAAAAGCATCCTTCCCCATGTAGTCTATATGGCCTTCCTCCCACTTCTTGCGTTCATCTTCTGCATTTGGTGCCTCTGGTTTGAGCTGAATGGATAGCTCAGAAATATGGTGGGCTGTCTCATCCTAAAAAAAGGAGACAGGGCAGTGCAAAGCAGTCAATTCATTAGCTTTATTCTAGTGACAGGCTTAAAATGAGTTTCTAAATTTTAATCATCCTAACCAAAATTGCCTTAATGACATTATTCGTTACGATTTCCATGATATGATCACAATTTCCCAGATGTAACACTTAGCAAAGCATCTCTGGCAAGGCAAAGTATTTCCTTATCCTAACTCAATCTGACATTCAGAAATGCCAATAAAAATTAGTTTAAATGAGGACACAGGAATAAAGTTCTTTACCCTATAAAGCTGTAACCCTGCACCTGTGCAGAGTAGGAATAACCATAGCAGAATTCCATCTGGACAGAGGCATCTTCACTACAGATCCTAGTGCCAGACTTTGGTTTTCACAGCTGAGGATATTGGGAAGATTCCCAAACATGAGATTCTTTTCAGGTAACAAATCTGAGGAATTGTCCCAGATTGAGGTGTCATTAGAGGTGGTTTTGGAACAAGTTGATGAACTTAACAGTAACAAGTTCCCGGGACCAGATGGCAGTCACCAAAGAGGTCTGAAAGAACTCAAAAGTGAATCTGCAGGACTATTAACTATAGTTTGCAACCTATCCTTTAAGTCAGCTTCTGTATCTAATGACTGGAAAATATAAATATTGGCATCCCATTAGCTAAGTGCTCCAGAGGTGATCATGGCTATTACAGACCAGTAAGTCTAATGTCAGTACCAGTAAGTTATCTGAAACTATAGTAAAGAATAAAATCGTCAGATACATAGATGAACATAATTTGTTGGAGGAAGTCAACGTGGTTTCTGCAATGCTATGTCTACACTGTAGAGCTACTTCAGGATACGGGAAGCTATTTAGGGATATATTCCACATCTTTAAAAACAGCCCATTATTTTGAAATAGATTTCAAATTAACAGGCATGCTATTCCGGCATCCCTGGTTCAGGGATGTTTCAGAATAGAGATTTAGAAATAAGCTTTTTTCAAATTACCTCAAAATAAGCTATGGAATTTGTTTAGTGGAAATCGTGCATCTTATTTTAAGGTAAAGGTACAACGTAGATGCACCTTAAGGGAAGTCATGCCTTACTAGAGTGCTTTGGGGGAGGTGGAGGTCAGCCAACATGTTGATAAGGGGGATCCAGTGGATACAGTATACTTAGATTTTCAGAAAGCCTTTGACAAGGTCCCTCAAAGTCTCTTAAGTAAAGTAAGTGGTCATGGGATAAGAGGGAAGGTCCTTTCATGGATTGATAACTGGTTAAAAGACAGGAAAGAAAGGGCAGGAATAAGTGGTAAGCTTTCAGAATGGAGACAGGTAACAAATGGGGTTCCCCAAGGGTCCATATTGGGACCAATCCTATTCAGACTATTTATAAATGATCTGGAGAAAGGGGTAAACCAGGAGGTGGCAAAATCTGCCGATGAACTCAAACTGCTCAAGATAATTAAGACCAAAGCAGACAGAAGAGGTTTAAAAAGCATAAAATTAAGTGAGTGGGCAGCAAAATGGCAAATGGAGTTTAATGTTGATAAATTTAAAGTAATGCACATTTGAAAAAAAATAAACCCAACTATACATACAATATAATGGGGACTAGTTTAGCTACAGCTACTCAAGAGAGATCTTGGAGTCATTGTGGACATGTCTCTGAAAATATCCACTCCATGTGCAGCATCAGCTCAAAAAACCACACAAAAAACCCAAACAGAATGTTAGGAATCATTTTTCTGTCTTATTCTGTCTTAAAAAAAAAATATCTTATTGCCTCTCTATAAAGCCATGGTATACCCACATCTTGAATACTTTGCGTACAGCCTCATATCAAAAGATATATTTGCATTGGAAAAGGTTCAGAAAAGGGCAACAAAAATGATTAGGGGCTTGGAATGGGTCCCATATGAAAAGAGACTGGGATTTTCAGCTTAGAAAAGAGGAGACTATGGGGGCATATGACAGAGGTCTAATAAAATCATGACTGGTGTGGAAAAAGTCAATAAGGAAAAGTTAGTTCTTATATTGTGGGAACCAATAAATAACGGTCACCAAATGGAACTAACAGGTAGGTTGAAAGAGGGAAGTTTTTCCCCTTACACAGCACATGGTTGGCCTGTGAAACTTCTTGCCAGAGGATATTGCGAAAACCAGGACTTCAACAAGGCTCAAGAAAGAGCCAGAGAGATTCATGGAGGTTAGGTCCATTAATGGCTATTAGCCAGGATGGGTAGGAATGGGGTCCCTAGCCTCTGTTTGTCTGGAAATTGGTGACAGGAGAGGGATCACATGATATTACCTGTTCTATTCATTCCCTCTGGAGCATCCTGGCATTGGCCACTGTCGGAGGACTGGATACCGGGGGAGATGGACCTTTGGTCTGACCCAGTATGGCCTTTCTTATGACTGGGATTATAGTTTTGTCTCCAAAGAGTTAGTGGACAAGGCAGTAAGAATTCCAGGTAGAAACAGCTACATTCATCAGATACCATCAATAATTATCCTGAAACTCATGTCAATTTTAATTAGAAAAGGACCACTCAGTGCAGATAGATTTGAATATCCTTCAGAGGAGCAATCTTAACAATTTTGGTCCGGAGACCCAATTAGGAAAGGTTATTATGTGAATCAGAGATCATGAACAAGTATGGATATATTATAGCGTTTCATAAGAAATTTTGCAATGCCAAAACTTTGTCTAATATTTTAAATTTTCATATAGTGCCCACCAAATCTAAAAGTTTAAAATACTGTGGATATAGCACCAGCCATCTATCTATGGCAGCTCATAAAGTAGTAGTTGAATGTTTGCTCTATCTGAACATACTGCTCAGAGAAGAAGGTCCTCTGCCATCAACTCATTCAGAAAGCTCCACATAGCCCTTTGAACACTTGCAGGAAATTCATAAGGCAACTTCAAAAATGAAGCTCCAGATCTTTCTGCTTAGTTACCAATTCATACACCTAAGGCCCAACAACCAAGGAACAAAGTTTTGCACAGCATATCTACTCCTTGGAGCTATGCAGGTGACACAAAACCGGACGCTTCCTTCTTAAGTAAATATGCAATGCCTGCTAATACATGGCTAACCCATTTACTTATCTTTATTACATGGATTAAAGGTAAACTTTGGATATTATTAATGACAAAAAGTTAAATATTATGGATGAAATTCTGGTTCTGTCCAAGTCAGTGGCAAAATTCCCACTGAGCTGAATGGAACCAAGATTTAATATTTTAATTTTTTTTATCTTAAAGCTAAAAATAATTTAAACACACCAATTGAAACAAGTACTTATTCCAAGACCTAAGACTAATTTTATGATCTTAACACTTTAGATTAACATTCAAAAGTGTACAAAGAGAGCTTTGTAAACAAGGTCTGAAAGTAGTAAAGATATTACACAGAGAAAATTTCTATATCTGCCTTATATATATTTATTACTTTAAGCCATAATTAGCTGATCTTTCCCAAAATTGTGTTGGCAAAGAATGAAATAAATGCACAAAGCCTCGCAACAAGGATGGATCACAAAAAGTTGTTGTGTATACCAGCTTCAAGGTTTGTTGTGGGGCAGGATGAAAGACAGGCTGCTCTAATGGTTGGTTTGGCTCAGGGAGACGGACTTCAGAGCTGCGTTGTTCAACTTGAGGTACTACAGGTGTCTGAAATATAAGTGTAAAGCTTTATTAATTGATTAATTTACTTATAAATATTCATGATTACAAGATTTCTGCGTTCAGTGTGAGAATTCACACATACTAGAGTTAATTTGAAGAGGATGTTATCAAGATAAAGTTATTAAAGAAACTTTACAGCAGTGGTACCCAACCTTTTGGGGCGCCAGGCACCTGGGGGCGGGGCCGTGTGTGTTGTGCATCCGGGGGAGGGGCCGCATAGTCGCTGTGCGCCCAGGGCGGGGCCACGCATGTGCCGTGTGCAGGGCCAGCTCTAGGTTTTTTACCTCCCTAAGCAAAAACATTTTTGGCCACCCTGCCCCGCCCCCCGCTGGAGGACAGGCACTGACAAGGAAAGCGCCCCTTTTACCTTGTGGCTCTGACTCCCACCACGCCCTCCGGCCAAACCCAGCCTACACATCTTGTCTCCCCTCCACACACATCCCCATCCACACATCCCAACCCCCACCCACCAAACCCAGTTTCCACCTCCTCCCCCCTCCCAGGCAAACTCAACCCCTCAGTGACCGGATGCAGCCTGCCCCCCTTCTGTTCCACACCTGATCACCCTGCACCCTGTCTTCACTCCCAGCCAAACTCGATCTCCCCCTCCCCACCGGACCCAGTCCGCTTCCCTCTCCTACTTCCCCCCACTGACTGAACTCCATCTCCTTTCCCTCTCCCTGCCAAACCCTCCTGCCTCCTCCCCCCAGCACATGTGGAAATGTCGGAGCACCCTAGGGGAGGGGGTGAAAGTGGCATGGGTCGCCCTGGGGGGGGATGCACACGCACACAGTCGGGAAACAAAGGGCAAGGCCAGGGACACCTCTCCCCCCATCTCTGAGCCAGGGCAGGCGAGGCCCCCTCAGGCTGCAACCACATCGGGCTGCAAAGTAGCTCTCCCCTCCCCCCAGCCTAAGCACCTCTGCTTGAATCATCCCCTGGACTGGGCAGGGCCTTCCTTCTGCCCAGCCCCACCAAGGCTGCAGCTCTACCCTCCCTCCGCGACCAGCACTGAGGCAGAGAAAAGGGGGAGAGTTGCCCCCCATTTGCCAATGTGCACTACTTCCCCCCGCCCCCTGCAAATTACACACTCCTGCAAATTTCTTGGCCAAGGGTGCCCGCTCCGGCTGGAGGGGTCATTAGTAAGCGTGAGGCAGGCAGAGAGAAGACCAAAGGCACCTGGCTCACAGCGTGGTCCCTGGCTGCAGTGACCGGGGCTGCCCCTTGCCCGGCCCTGGATCGCTCTGTGAAGCCTGCCCTGCACAGCCCGGGGAAGAGTGGCTGCTCAGGCTGCAACCACATCGGGCTGCAAAGTAGCTCTCCCCTCCCCCCAGCCTAAGCACCTCTGCTTGAATCATCCCCTGGACTGGGCAGGGCCTTCCTTCTGCCCAGCCCCACCAAGGCTGCAGCTCTACCCTCCCTCCGCGACCAGCACTGAGGCAGAGAAAAGGGGGAGAGTTGCCCCCCATTTGCCAATGTGCACTACTTCCCCCCGCCCCCTGCAAATTACACACTCCTGCAAATTTCTTGGCCAAGGGTGCCCGCTCCGGCTGGAGGGGTCATTAGTAAGCGTGAGGCAGGCAGAGAGAAGACCAAAGGCACCTGGCTCACAGCGTGGTCCCTGGCTGCAGTGACCGGGGCTGCCCCTTGCCCGGCCCTGGATCGCTCTGTGAAGCCTGCCCTGCACAGCCCGGGGAAGAGTGGCTTTCTCTCCCCTCCCCCCGGGTGCCGGCGCCCGCGGCGGG